TTTTGGCCTTGTATGTGTTCAACATATTCTAATAATTCTAATAGAATTATGCCAATATATTTGGAAAAATATTTGGTAAAGAGAGGAGCTTAGGCATATACGTCCCTATAGATGCTTCTTTATAAAGTACATGCAGTGCAGGGGTACTCATTTCAACTTATTAAAGCAGGGATTTTCCAACTAGCTTGTAAATCTTCCACAGCCGCCCAAGCTACCTAGTGGATATAACTTTATACTAGGGTTAAGTTGCAGCCCCTAAATTTTGAATCTATGGACCACTTATACCTAGTTGCACTTGTTCAAACCATGTATTTATTGGTACGAATAAGTAGGACCTAGCTAGGACAACAAAAAGTTACTAGGAACTTAGTGCCACAACAAAAATGAGCCAATTTCGATCCAGTCATATCATGAGCTTTAATCTTTTTTATACGGGCGATATTGAAGGCCGGAAAAATCAAATTTAAGACCCTGACTGCATGAATAAATGCTCTAAATTACTTGAACTATAAGCCCATTTCTCATTAGCTTTAATTAGCTTTTTCCACAATTTTGTTTTTACATGTAATCACGCAAGCAAATCACGAGTCAATGAGAACTAGTAGGGTTGATCAAATATTTAAAAATTCAAGTAAACTTAAGAAGAAAAAAGACTTGCCTAACTAGTTCCATCCACAAACTTTGAATGAAACATATTTTCCCTAATCTTTGGTTTTTCTTGTCCATTTGTAGCACATCCAACCTAGCAAAGTTTCTTTCGTGTCATGTATGACATGAATATTAGGGAGGATGAGTCATTCAAACTTTAATTCTTGTGCAACTTCGCGCATGCACATCTTTATGTGTATAAAGATTATATAGTAATAATATTACTTTTGTGTCGTTCTTAATGTTTTAAACGTTTTGGATTACTTCAAAAACCTTTGGGTTTGAGCGCTAAATTTGTCAAATTTTAAAGTGAAACGACACTGCAAATTAATCTAGACCAACACAAGGGGAATAACTTTACACATGAATCTCGACTTTAGTTAATCTCGCAAATTCTGATTTTCAATCGAGGGAGGTACTATATCCATATCCGAATAAATTGGATTATATCCACTAGCTATACACCACTATAACATGTCGTTTTTACCCTATTTCTCCATAAAGCTACTTAAAGTATATAAATCTTTTACATTTAACCTAAATATGAGGATGGAGAAATACTTTCGAATTAAAATATTCAAGCTACTCCTAGATCAATTTCTACTTCCGCCCTTGACCAAAAGTACTGAAAGGACATCCTTCTCCAATTAAACAACAACATGCCGAAGGCACTTACCAAAAACCAAGCTCGCATAACCTAAATCTTGAGACATGTGTCATCACCACAATGATTTGGCCAAAGTCCCACATCAAAAGTTGGGCAACCATCCACTTCATTTTTGCCTGTAAAAGGGGAAAGATGCCAAGGTAAAAAGGTAATTAATCTTTACCTCATTCTTACTTTGCCAAAATCACATTTTACCTTATACTCTGCTGACTTCAGTATCAGAGAGCATTCAGCCGGTATCACACCGGTGCCGAGGTTTGGACGATTGCTTTGTCTCTTTAGTTTTTGCAGATTTGCTTACTTGCTCAAGGCGTTACTATCGAAGGTCCTCACCTTCCCACCACTTGCTAAAAAAACCACACTTCACCCCTTTTAAGTTGAATTCAGTTTTGGACATCAACAGTATTTGTAAATGAAGGACGGAATTGTATCGATATTGCTATAATGTATTGATAACATGTCGGTATGTTTTGTTGTTGACATGTTATTGAAAATGATATCGACGCGTTATCGATACAATATCGACAATTCGTTCTTTAATGACGAATATACATTCGTTTAAAAAAGAAGAACTACTTATCAAAACATGTCAAAAAATTAAACTCCTTGAGATTAAAAATTTGTCTTGAGAGAAGTTCAATGAACTAAGTTTGCATCATCAAATTAGACGTCATATATGCTACAAATTTATAATCAACACGTATGTGGATAATTTGTGACACGCGCATGTGGATAACTTGTGACGGGCGATAAATATGGCACGGGAGGGAAATTGACCTTAGCAAAACTATCAAATTATCCTAATCTTTGCTTAAATATTACACCAACAATATTCTGGTAAACCAGCCTTTACCCACTGACGTGACAAGACTGGCAATCGAAATGTGACATACATGGGACTAATCTTTGTGGGGATTCTTTCACAATTTTTCTGGTGCCAAGTTGCTCTGATTCCCCCACAAAACAAAATCAATCCAAAAAAATATTTTATGTAATGCACCTTTTTAAACCTTTAAACACAATACAATACTTTATCCCGAAAAAGACGAACACATAAATCGCCACTTTTTATCCGGGCTTTATAAAGCGGACCACAGGGCCACACGCAACGCACGACCACAGCGAGCACATCGGACCAGCGGCGATATCCCATTGGCGCGTTGATACAACGGGAGCGGAGGCCGGGTGGAGGGAGGGAAAAAGTGACACGTAAGAAAAAGAGGCAGAGGACAAAAATGCTTAAAAGCGTGAATCAGGAGTCACGGAACTGTACCTGCAACGGACTACGGAAAACACGACCCATCCGGAAACCGCTAATTGCGCTCCCTTCCTTTTCGCTTTGCTTTTTTGCCCAAGTCCTTTACCAGCGGTTTTAATTCTCACTTTGTCCCCCTTTTTAGGCCGGTTATTTTTACTGTTTTACTAGCTTTATACATAAAAACCTTAATATATAGGTATAAAATATGAAATGTTATTCAAAATCAAAATGGTAGATACGGGTTAAGCTGGTTGACCTAAACAACGTGTCCGTCATCTTGCATCTGAATTCGATTCATATTCCCGTACATTACAGTAACTTGATTATACTTACTTTCAAACACACTTAAACATAACGACCCGATTTAATAAAGGGTGGGGGGTTTTGTATATAATTTGTGATTAAATAAAGTAACTTGTTGAGTTAGTAAAGTAACACCTATTGGTTTAATTGTATAGGTGTTTTTAAGAGGGGACGAGTTTTGAGGCAAATAAGCAAAATGCCTCTTTCTCGAAGTGTCCTTTATAGAAACTTCCGTTGAGAAATCAACTGAATTATACAATTTTATTTCATTTGAATGGACCAATAATTTTATAGCAAAGTTTATTTGACCCAATTAAATTTTTGAAGGGTTTGCCGTACATTTCAAATATAGTTATATTATCTATTGCAAAGTTCACACATGCAATTGCGAAGTAGTCACTAAAGACTATAGAGATGTTGCATCATGACATGGACTTAGCTAAGTATTGTCTTAATTAATTTAAACTCAGATATTATAAAATGTAATTTCCACTTGCTCGCGTTTTCCATTTTATATTAAGCCATCCCAGTAAAGTAGAGGAAGCAATAGTTGAATAATCATAAACTTGCAGCATAAGTAAACCTACTTTTCTCAACTCTATGTGAGAGTTGCCATATTGGAGTTACGTGATAAGGTGTAATGAATTGTATAAACAAAGCGATATTCTGATTATACTATACGGAGTGGGGAGGAGAATCGAACTCGAGTGCAAATAAGAGGGTATATCATATCTTACTAAAATGCAAGAAGTTTCTGACAAAACCACACTTTTTTTTTTTCTAAAAGAAAAGGAAAGAAATTATGACATAAGTAAATACAAGAAGTTTCTACCAAAATCTAGGATCGCTTTCCAAAAACAATTAAAGGAAAAATCTGACCTAAAAATTGGGAAAAAGAGGCAATGCGATACTTTTATCGTGTCAACTTTGAGGCAGTCTTCGACTTTTGTTTGGTTCTCATCTGTTTGAGCAAATGGCAAACATGCCATAAAATCATCCCGTGAGAGTTTGATTTCTTGTGAAATGTTTTATTTTTATTTTTATGTAGGTTTCTTTTTGTGGCACCAAATGATTGGAGCATGCAAAAGTCTCAATAGCAACTTGTTTGTGCATCAATCAAGGCATCGATCTGCGCCCTAGATTTGCCTTAATCCATTGTTTAATTACTGTTCTTGACCACTGATTGAACCCCCATTGAGAAAGATAAATAGTAAACAACCAAGAAGGTAAAACAAAAAAACAAAAAAAAAGGATAAAGGGAATGTTTTTACTACCAAACATTGCTTAAATAACACCCAAATTTTAAAGGGAAAATATACATTCGTTAAAAAAAATTATTCTTACGTGACAATTAATGTATAGTTGTTCACGATTGATTTATTTGTAAGAAATACATTACGTGACAATTAATCGACGACACAATGCGCAGACTTTCTACATTGATTGCTCGAAAAAAAAGTATTTAGACTTTCCATGCCGATTTCTCACAAAAATGACTTTGCTTCTCGTGTTGATTTTTCAGAGAAATAATTCAATATCTATAAATAAATAGCAGGTCGCACATTGTTATTGTCAGACGATGGTGCATTTCAGTGGCGTCACACAAAATTGTTATCGATTAAACGAATACTTTCACGTCATACCATATAGTAACCGCAATTTAAAAACCTTTGTGTTTGTGTACGGACAACATTGATTCTAACATTCCAAGAATTATTGCACTATAATGTAACTTACGAGAAAATTCATAACAGTTTTTGAGTATGCATAGACAAAGATATGGGTGGATTAAGAGTATGATATCATAGTAGAATAGAAGCTTTCTTTTTCGTACTCAAGTTTTGAAAAAAATCAGATCAAATATGAACGCCAAACATCAAGTCTTACCTGCTAATGATGGTGCCCTATTAATACGCAATTAAAACCAAAAACGAAAATAAGATTAATCTACATTTCTGTAATCAAGAAATAAAGAAAGATGCATTATTTTAATCCAAGTTTAATTAAGGGTAAGAATGAAAATAAAATAAAGAGAAAAAAGAAAAGTCCGTCTCACTTATTGTACCTGCCAAGTACGCCTAATTGTACCTCCCAACCTTCTCTCATCATCACCTTTCCATGTCTCACATTACCTTCTCTCTCCCTCTCCTCTCCTCTCCTTTCTTTATTCCCTCTCCTGCCCTTTATATATTCCACTTCTCCCCTCACACCTCTCACACCCACCACCACTCCATCATCTCTTCTTCTCTCTCTAAAAACACTCCTCTCTTCGGCTCCTCGCACAGTCCGTACACATCATCATCATCATGAAGCAGTTGATCAGACGGCTCTCCCGCGTCGCCGACTCGTCTCAGTACTGCCTCCTGCGCTCGGCCGACACGGCGTCGTCCCGCCCGCGCCGAAGCGAGTCGTTTCGGGTGAAGCTCCGCCGCCGCAGATCCTCCGCCGGCGAACCGGTGGTTCCCGAGGGACACGTGCCGGTCTACGTTGGCGACGAGATGGAGCGGTTCGTTGTTCACGCCGAGCTGCTGAACCACCCGGTCTTCGTCGAGCTCCTGAACAAGTCGGCTCAGGAGTACGGCTACGAGCAGAAGGGCGTGCTCCGGATCCCTTGTCACGTGATCGTCTTCGAGCGCGTGCTGGAGACTCTCCGCCTCGGGCAGCCCCCGTCTAGTGACCTGCACGACCTCCTGAGCTCGATCTCCGACGACCTGAGATCCTGGTAGATTCGGTAATTCAGGGAAATGTTTTGGCCTTTTTTGTAAATACGGTGGCGTTTTCGATCGAAGCGAAGCAAAAGAGTAAAGAGCAGTTGCAAGGTCCTTAAAAAAAAAAGTTTTTTTAGTTTTTTTTTTGGGTGTTGTAAAGGGAAAGAATACTACTCAGGCTTTAGAGTGTGTCTAGAAATGCTAGTGCTGGTCTCTCTGTATAATTGAATTACAGTCATGGCAAAAACGGAAAATACTTGTACTTTTTTGTCCTAATTTTTGTGTTGCTTCTTTCTCGACTTATTTTCTTTCTTCTTCCTGTTTGTTTCCCGGGAAACCTGGGGAGAAACGGTGAAGAAAATCATGTAACACTAAAATTGGGGTTCCGTGAGTGCCAATTTTCAAGAGGGATGATTGTCTCTGTTTAATTTATGGAAAATGGACGATGATTTCTGAGATTCAAGCGTTTTGGGGTTGTGATTGGTTTGTTTTCCGTTTGATACATTTTGCATTTCCCGGGAAGCCGAACGGGCAGGGCAGTGAGTTTTGGTGTAATTTCCTGGGCGGCAGTTGGAAGCCCATGAAGTTGGTACTAAATTACGGAACTGGGACTGTAACGTCCGCAGCGGATCTGGAAAAATCTCTGACACGATATGACCGAGTTGGCTTTTGTCTCTCTACTGTAATTTACGCGATCTTCGGTGGCTCTTTGGGTAGGGTGATAACTTTGTCTGTCTAGATTTCTGGTGAGGGTGTTTTGGTCAATTTCGCGGGGATGATGGTTTCGGTGGCTTATGAGATCATGGTGATATGCTGTTTTAACGGTTGTAGCTCAAGCCTGGCTGGCTGTAGAAGCACAAAGCACCTTAATTACAAGAAAATGTGTACATTAATATATTTTTGTTTTTGGCTTCACTGATTTATATTTTTGTTTTAGGGTGAAATATAAATTAGGCGTCAAGCAAAGTTGTGTCCTTTGATATCGCATCGTATCAGGAGAAAAACTTATCTACAACAGAGTCGTATGTAAACACAGTTGTTTGATCACTCGAGGCAATTAAGTTTTTCTCCGATGCAAGAGCGTGCGCCTCGAGTTTCTCCGGGCGCAAGAATGTGTGAGAGGAAAAGAAGAAAGAGTACATTTACCAACTATACGGCCAAACATGTACATGAACATGCACATAATCCGGCAGTTAATCTCACCTAACACAAAATGATTATAAGAAACTGTCAAAACAATCTCATTCAACCCACCAACGATTTAGAGAGTCCAAATTAGACAAGTCTATATACACAAATCAAGGCATGCACTGTCCACCTAAAGCGTAGACACCATGATTAATGGCTTAACACATTGGCCACCTAATATGATTAGGTAGATCCTCATCCGGTAGGTCTGCATACTAGTATATATTGCTCTTGCTCTTGTTTTTGGGGATACAATATTCCAATTTGAGTTCACTAATGAAATTGCTAAATCTGTACGGACACTTGATTAGTAACATGTTTTTTCGGTGTTAAGCTTAATTAGTAACATTTGATTACATAGCTAGAGGCTAGAGCTAGGCTCTTGGTCTCTTGGATTAGTTGAAATGTAGATTGATTTTGGAGAGGAAACTTCGCGCAAAGCTTACCCTGCAAGAATACATTACTGAAGCTTGTCAAAGATGCTTTGGTTTTGTCTCTGAAACTTGTCAAAGGTTTCTGAGTAGGTGAGTTTTTTATTAGTCTTTTCAAACAAATGTACCAATATTACTTCAAATTTTATCTTGAGTAGGTGATACATATATGTCATCAGTCATGTTTATACCTAAGTATATATCATGGGGTTGATTATTTTGGATTTTAACTTTAGATAAAAATCAAGTGTGTTTATATTTTTTTGAGAGAACCTCAATGGAACAAGGGAAACTTTATTGATAAAACGAAGAATTACAATGGGATGACAAAACGCCTAACCCCGACTCAAAAAACCACATAATAATAGGCGTCCTAAATAAGATCAGGGGGCAACTCAAACCAAATAAAGTTGTCCACATTATATGTTAACGCCCTTAGACTTCGTAAGTGTGTATTGTTTTGCCATGGCAAAACAAAATCTTAATTTGAGCACAAACTAGAACGGAAAATACAAAGTCTACCTACCTTTCTTTAATTAGAGTAAAGGACATTATTACTATGCTACAAAGCCTGGTGATTACTAATTCCATGCATGGTCTTTCTTTCATCTAGTAACACCTTCATCCCTAAAATAAGGATAAAAATGAGTGTTTGAGGGATTAATTTCGTGTGTGTTACTATCGAGCTCTGAATTTATTAGTACTTGTCTTCTCAAATTTGACAGATATCTCAAGTTCAAATTTCATTTTTCTATTGATCAAAGAAAAAGGCTCGGACTCGTACATTGCATAGGCATAGACAAGAAACTTTTAACCTTAGTGATTATACATAAAGCATTAATTATGGCTAAGTAGCTCATTAATAGAAAAATTAGTTCCAATGGACAAGAAGTACACAAAATGCGAGGGCTGTTACTCAAAGGAGGCAGTTTATGTCGTGAAGCTCCAAAGCAATTGAATTGTGCCGGGCCAAAAATTAAACATGAACAACCGTTAACTTGGTCCACATGGTTCTACGTACCATTTCGTTTTCTCTGTTTTTGTATCTGATTTGCTGTCTCTAATTAACACGTGTCGAGAGCTCGGAACTTGAGCACTTGCTAACATGGATGTGTTTGGCATTCCTAATTGTACATTATATCATTTTTGGGGCAATTGCCAAACATGGCTTTATTGCTTTGAATGGTGCACGAGACTCTTTTTTTTTTTCTTTTTTTTTTAAATTTTAATTTTTGTGGGAGGCCATTTGTCCATTCAAGTTGGCAAAAGCGGATGTGCTCTCCACTCTGCATCCGAGTTCGAATTCCCTTCCCGTAGTTTTGATTAATTTAAAATAGAATATTATCGATTGTATAAATAAAAAAAACAAAAAAAAAACTCAGAAATCAGATTCTGATGAGTGTAAAATATATGTAATGACATATGAGTAGGCTAAGGTGGTCTCAAACAAGAAATCATGGAAAATGAGTGGTGGGAGAATATTTTGGTTTAAGACCCCACAAGAAAATTATTTCAATTTAGAACATTACTTTATGAACATTAATATATATAAATGAATTAACATGTATAATATATATGTGTGGACAGTGAAGAAGAAGAAGAAGAATAATTAAGCAAATTTTGATTGATTAAGGAGTCAATCAAGTGAAATTGGATTAATTGTGGACCCAAAATTCGATCCGTCTTAAAAAGAAAACAAGCAGAAATGGACAAGTAATTGGAAAAAGATAAGGTACCAAATCTCAAATCTATATGGTGGCAATTGCAAAACTGATCATCATGTGAAGTGAAGTGAAGGACGGGGCCTGCATGCTGGCCTTAACTAAGCAATGCTTTGGAGGCGTCACAAGGACGTATTTTTTACACCATTCATTGGAGTTTCTCTTTTTAATTATCTTTCTTAATTACGGATTAGTTTAAGTTTATCCATAATTAAGCTCAATCACTAACGACAGCTCATATATATATATTTATATATTTATATATCCTTATAGAGTGATTGATGTTCTATACACTTGGAGAAATTTCAAGTGTGAAACCAAACCAGTAAAGGGTATATAAAAGTGAAAAAGAATAATATCATTTAGGATTGTTGCTCATCTCTCCTCTGCAAATCCTTATCTTTTTAGAATCCCAGATTGTTATACTCAAGTAGAATATTAGAGAATAAGCTTAGTATATTTATATAATTAATATACCACTATATATATACTTAATTTTGATTAACTAATGTACATATATATACTGTATACAGTTCTCTCATTCGGATGTCTGCACGTTATTATTATGCGGATTTCATTGTAAACAGGGAGAAAGCTTTTTACCAACTAGGGTTATGCTAATTTGATCTCCCCTTACTTGATTAATCAAACCCAATAGGGAAAATAGTTCTTGCATGCTTACTGCATTTGTATATACAAAGAAGGCCAGACATATACACTAATAATTCTTGCCAAAACGCGTGATTCAAATCCACAAATCCGGTAGTATAAGTTTAGGCTACCAGACATTTTACAAAGGGAATAATAAAAAGGAAAAGGAACAAAACCGTACTAGGCTACCAGACATTTTACAAAGGGAATAATAAAAAGCTGGAGCCGTGGAGGTGGTGGAGAGGGCTTTACAGCTTATTATTATAAGACACAACCCATTTATGCCAGCCTATTCAAGTACGTACTTGACTTGTGTTGCCAGCTACATAAGCTTATAAATAAAATTAAAAACATAGGTTTCGACGTGGAGTTCATGATTAGCTAGAATGGAATTTTGTGACAGTTCATGTGTGTATAGAAATGTATTATTTTTCTCCAATAATCTTCATCACTCCCCATGAAGAAATAGAAAAAATAATTGAATTTTATTTTCAAATGGGTCATCATGAAGATCTTTAAAAAAAATCCAAGAATCATGTTAGATGAGAGATACTACGCGTCCCAGTGTGAAACAACTTGTGATTTGTTCTTCTGGGTTTGGGTTTATATGCAGGAAATGAGCCAGTCGAGATTATGGTGTGAACTCTGTGAAAATATTACATAACCTAATTATTATTCCAAGATTTGAAAAAAAAAATGTTGAAAGTATATGCATGCCCTTGATTTGAGGCCCCCCAGAGGCACATGGCATGCACATTTGGGGTTCAAGAACTTGTAATGCACGTTCTTCTTTGTAATCATGAAGCTATATTTCTGGGTTCTGTGGAATATTTTGAATTCTTTATGGAAAAGGATGAGCTCTGAGATCCGTGAAAATGGCAAAATCTCAGTCCGTACGTACAACAGAAGTCGATTGGGGGAGAAATGTCAAATGTGATGGAAGCTGCTTGTGATACGGGTCACATGCATGGATATAGGTATATAGCTAGCTAATTAAGCTGGCAATATTGACGAGAAATATGAGATCTTATAGGCCTTCGATCGGCAATTTTCCCCCTTGACGTTTAGAGAAGTTCACATGGGTACGTAATTCTTCAGCATGTCATACATTATACGAATCGTTAATACGTGACACTTCAAAAAACAGTCATCCTACACTCGTTTGATATATAATTTTCCTCTTTATATTATTTTGTTGTAAAAGAGGAGTACATAATGAGACCCCCTTATAACTTATTATCTATACTTTGATTAAATAATTCAAATTACTATTTTGGACTCAATAGAAAAAACTTTCACCACTTATCCTTATAGAATCCAAGGAAAAATAAGTGAGATTAACACAAATGCCTTTGCGGCCATAATAAGGCACCGAAATAAAAGTAGCGGTCAAGGCATATCAAATGTTTGATAGTAATTAGTGACTTTGTTGCGTAGTGACATAATGGCATTACTCCCATATAAAAAAATTTAGGGTTATTCGCAGCAATGGTCACTCAATTATACCCGTAGTTACGCTTTGGTCCATCAATTCAATTATTAGTTGCGGGGGTCACTCAACTAGGTGCTATGTTGCACCAGTAGTCCCTTCGTCAAACTCTGTTAAATTTTCTGTCAAAAATGAGGGTAAATTCGGAAATTCATCCACAACCCTCCATTGTCGCAACCCAATCCTTGCTTCTCCTCTCTTGTACCAAAATCTGGGCAGAAAAAAGAAAAGAGAAAGACAACTCAATTGCTTCTCCTCCCTTGTACCAAACTCGCCACCCAATCCTTCCTCCCACCCCAACCCAGCACTCACTGTAAACCATCAACCATAAACATCCATCAATTTCTCTGTTTTTATATTTTGATTTTTCTATTCATTTTTAGGAAGGTGTAAGCATCTATAAAGCCATCCACGGCAAATACTTGCACCACAAACGCAAACAAAAATTGTTCTCAATTTCTTTAGCTGCCACGACGCCATTGATGGAAGCAGACGAAGTAATGGAGCTATATGATTCTTACTGGTTTCAGCTCGGAATCTTCGAAAAGCAACCAAATTCATCAAACCCATCAAGGATTGAAGCAGACCCGGTTCTTGAAATTGAAGAAGAACCATAAAAACCAGAGCTTTTACGCATCTCGACCCTCCTCCGTACCAGGTCCATGAGTGACAAATTGAGCTCCAAAACAAGCTTCAACTTCAGCTCCACTCCCTCACCAGACTCAGTCCTCCACAGACCAAAGCTCTTCACCATTCTCTCTGGCAAGGAAGCCACATAAGTTGAAACCCCAATACAGAGACATGTCGAAGAGTCGCCAAAGAAGATTACGAGACGGAGGAGGAAGAAGAAGAAGGGTGAGAGCAAGAGCTTGACAGACCTTGAATTTGAAGAGCTAAATGGGTTTATGGATCTTGGTTTTGTTTTCTTAGAGGAAGACAAAGAAGATTCAAACTTGGCTTCGATCATTCCTGGGCTGCAAAGATTGGGGAAGAAGGACGGCCAAGATGAGGTCTTTGACGAGTCTACAATTCCAAGGTCTTACCTTTCTGAAGCTTGGAAGGTGAGGGATCAAAGAAAGAGAGAGAAGCCATTGATGAATTGGAGGTTTCCTGCGTTGGGCAATGAAATTGACATGAAAGACAATCTCAGATGGTGGGCTCACACAGTTGCTTCCACAGCTGCTAATCGTGAATTTAGCCTGCCTAGCCGCTAGGCGTGCAGAGGGTTTCTTTTGTTCTACACCAATGGGGTTGCAAATTTTAAGTTCGCTCAGAGAGAGAAAGAGAGAGAGAAAGGGATTGTTGTGGAGGAGAGGGAGGGGTTGTGGATGAATTTCCAAACTTACCCTCAGTTTTGACAGAAAATTTAACAGAGTTTGACGGAGGGACTACTAGCACCTAGTTGAGTGACCCCCGCAACTAATAATTGAATTGATGGACCAAAGTGTAACTACGGGTATAGTTGAGGGACCATTGCTACGAATAACCCAAAAATTTATGTCTTGATATTGTGAGTGTGGACAAAAGGAAATTTAGGGTTTAAGGTTAAGTGTTTAGGAATTAGTTTGATTCATATGTCCTCCCTTTCCTTAGGCCCTAGACACGTTTTAAATAATTAAAGAAAAAAATTCAATTAGCACTCTTCAAACTAATTGTATTAGCCCTTTTGTAGCTTGTGGCTGTTTTGACTGAATTATATATGCAATCCCAAAATTTCTAGAATTAATAAACTAGATAGATAGATACATGGATAATATGCTCACCCAATCAATCATACGAGCGCATATATAGAAAAGTTCACATTCAAGGAAATGAAATAAAAATGAGTTAATTGCTTGAATTAAGATATGTGTGGCCCAAAAATATATGAAATAAAATGAAATGTTTGATAATTATATCTTAACTTCCAAGAAAGTTGGCCAAGCGCCCACCATTCGATAGTCTTGGAGTTCAAGATTTGACTCAATGATTCGTAGTCCAATGTGTTCATACCTTCTTTAATTCAAACATACAAAAACAAGTATTCATCACCAAGGACTTCATATATATATATATACATATTTTCAACCTAATATATAAATGCCGGCCTTAAAGCTTATTATGATGAGCCTGCAGCACCTGCAGGCCTTACATTACATTAATCAAACTATATATAGCATAATAATTAATAAAATAATTTTAGTTATCTCTTAATAATTATATTAATTTGTTTGGATACAGTTGATGCACATGGCAGCTTGGAAATTAAGTACTTTGGGTTTTCTCAGCAGCAGTCGCAGCTGCCATGTTCAAAATATCATAACTCACCGCCAATATAAATGATCCAGAAGATGCAGCACATGCATGTTTGATGAATAATGTGCATGAAATTTATATATAAATATATAAATTAGGGTTTTTGAGTGAAGCCAAGGCATATTTCTGCTGTGGAATTTCAGAATCTTCATTAATGGAAACATGAGTGAAGAACAAGAACATATTTGGAAATTAAGGACCAACTTGCTCATCACATGCAATAGCTGACATAATTCATAGTACGATTTTCGATAATATTCTGATCCCATTTGTTTCAGAGATGGCATATATATTATATATTGGCATCTACAATCCTTTAAGGCTAAGGCTTTTCTAGATTTTACACACACATATTAAAATTTGGGCTTAGCCAAGTTAGCTAGAGCCGATATGCTTCATGCTACTCTGCATCCAAGTTCGAATCCCCCTCCCCGTAATTTAGATTAAATTAAAGTAGAATATTACTTATATAAAAAAACACACTCACATTAATTTGAATTAATTTGCTGATAATGTTGATAAATTTATTTTTCTCTGGCCATGGCAAGTGGTTTAAGCATAATTAAGGGAGTTTGTATTCCATATCTAGAGTAGCATGCCTAGCTACACCTGGCTCTGTTAATCTATTTAATCCAGATTTCTAGAATTAATGATCACATGTGGAACTAAACTACCATCATGTCTTTATGCCCCAAGTCTTTCCAAATTTGTTGATAGAGTATGGTTTGACGTGATCATATGATAGGAAAAGGAAAATAATAATGGAGATTTGGGCATTGCATTTTCATTGGGCCTGAAAATTTGCCCAAGCTTATCTGAAGGAATGAATTCGAGGCCTTATAGAATTTGCAGGCCTCAAATGGCTCAACATTTCTATTTTTGTTTATCTTTTAAATCTTGTTTTGATAGCCTACTATTTTGCATCAACAGCAAACTGCTTCTTGGTGGGCTTGCCGCTTTTTTCAAAGGCACTTTTCTGCGAGTGCACAACTTAAACAGATAGTCTTATTTCTTTTGGTGTAAATGTTATTCTTCTGTAGTCCAATGCAAGTGTAGCAATCTTTTTCCTACTCCAGGGATTTGTCCAATGTGATTTTTCCTAGAAAGGTTTTTAATGAGGCTGCGTTCCTACATGCAGGTTCATTTGTAACGTTTTCGCTGATGATTCTAATGATACACCCCTTTGTCTATAAAAAAAAAAAAAAACTTAAACAGACAGTTTTCTGTTTCTTCCATCAGAGAAATGTGTATTTGTTGTACCTCAGTGCATTGCTCAACTGGTGACTTGAAGCTTACCAGTTATCATGCGCACTTCTATCCATATATAACTCTTTCGTTAATGGATCTTAAAATTCATGGACGCTTATGTTTTCTGCTGATAAAATGTTTTTCAACAATTTTTACTTGATTTATACTTCTTAACACAAATTCAACCTTGCATCTCCAATTTCACAATAACTATTTGAGCTATATAGCTTAATTTTTCCAACAAAAATAGAAAAGAAAAAAGGGGGTGGAAATAATTAACCAAGTAAATGTTTGTCACTAGGCAGCAGCTCCAACAGGTACTGCTCCCTTGAGCCTGGACGATCCGTATAGAGTTTCTTCGAAGCGGATAATCTCGTTCTTGGATCCGTAAGCAACTTGAGTCCGATCGTCAAGATTAACGATCACCTTGTCTAGCACAGACTGGTGGCCATCACTACTGAAACCTCCAGCATTTTCAACCAACAAGCCTAATGGAGCTACCTCAAACAACAGTCTTAGCTTAGCCTTGGTAGTTGGGGATATCACATTGGTGAAGATACCCTTCTCTTTTACAATAATCTGCAAACCCGATAATTGTGTGTCATTTTAGATGCATTATCTTGCTTCATGACTAGAAATTAACAAAACTCAGGCATGTCAAAGGGTGTTAATTAATTAAGATAAGTAAAGACCTGGTTAACATCTGGAACCATTCCTCCAGTGTATCTCAGTGTGTACTTCTCTTTCACATAGTAGTCAATCAGCTGTTAAATAAAAATTCAAGAAATAACACCATGAGTAAAAAAAAGAAAAGAAAGTAGCATGTCTTCTAAAAACACATCAATAAAATAAAATTTAGGAAAGCAGAGTTGACCTTGCTGTAGTCAGGGTTGTCAAATGTGGCTCTCAAATTTCCAGGGGAGAATAGCTTTCCTTCACCAATTTCTGTTGTCTCCTTAACATGTTGCCATTTTCCTAACCAATGCATTTTGTAGAGAAAATTAAGGGAGGCCATGTATTAAGTTTGAAATTTATCATAGAAGTGAGCTGATCAAATCATTGTTGGGTGAGAACTTTATATGAGATTTAATTTTGTGATATGAAAAGCAAACCTTCATCAAGAAGAAGGAACTCATGGGTGCCAGGGAAGCCTTTAACAGCAAGAACATATGTTGTTCGAGGCCCATAAATCCCCATGGCTGCAGCAACTTGATCTCTTCCTGTTATCCCAGTTAACTTATCTCCTGGCCACACCCCAAAAATTGTCCCTACAGTGAAATTTGTGTCGACGATACTGGAGCCATCAAGTGGATCAAAGGCAACACTGAATCCACCTGTATATGTCATGATTAACTAGTGAGTAAATGTTCAAATATATATTAAATACATGAATTTCCATATAAGACTAGCAAACCTTCAGCTGGGCCTCCCATGTCTTGGAGCTCTGGAACTTCTTCAGAACAAGCATATTTGCAAACGTGTGAATAAGTTAAGGCCTAGATGTTGAAAGACAGAAATCAGTTTGGACAATATTTTGAAGACCAGAGTTTACAATCAAGTTTGGTTTAGGAGAAGTAACATGCATTGAAAAAAGTATATTTCTTCTGCAAAATTCAAACTATCCCTTTTGTGCAATATGCATACATAGATTGAGTCTGACCTCAAAAAGAAGTTTATCAGCAAGCATATCCACAGCAAGCTGCTCATCTCCAAAAGAATTGACACATGCTGTTCCTCCACAAGAAGCTGTCCTCACTTTAAATCCAATGGTCCTTAATGCTTCCCCCATTGATATCAACAATGTGATCAGTTTCTTATCTGGGGTTGCCTTTGTTAAGAATTCTTCCTACAATCACAAATTAATTGTTTTTTTTAAATTAAAAAAAAAACTTGTATTTAAGCTCCATAAAGACCCTTTTGCCTATACTGGTTGCAGCTCTTTTTATAAGCCAGTTTTAACTTTTAGGAAATAACATGAGGTTTCTTTTTGTATCTTACCAAGCTATCACCAATTGCACATTTGGGTACACTGGAACTGTTCTTTGACTTTAAAACTCTCAGGGATGATTTTGGCACCATACGCAATGATTCCCCAAATAGAGAGCTTGTTCTCAAAGCCTGCCATGCATACAAAAATCCTTTAACAATATGTATATTTCATTCATCCACCATTTTCATTAGAGCACCATTTGGGCACGTATCGAAAGAAGAAGTCCATTATATATTGGTGTATATTCTCAAGCAGCAATTTGTACTAACTTGGCCAAAAATATCTGCATGCATATATGTCTGAAAGTGAAAACTCCATGTGTTAATACCTTAGAATTGAAAGATGAAGAGATGGAAGCTGGAGAGACTAGGGAGCTTGAATGCTGAGATGAAACATTACGCACTGGAAAAGCTCCTCTGGCGTAGCATGCAACACTGGTCTCCATATTTGACAGTGAGCTTCAAATTGAGCAAAACCAGTTTTTGCAAGAGCTAGCTGTGCTGTGCTTTCAATCTATTTTCCTTGGGCATGGAAACTTGGAATGAGTAAGGATTGTAGATATATAACCAGCTAATAGTGTTTTGCCACGCGGCACATGCTAAGTTTATAAGTTGAAAAGGGGGAGTGGGCTGAAGTTAATTAGCATCACTCAAATATCTGTGGCTCTGCTCTGGTCCCATGAAGAGATATGGTTTAGTTGAAACCCCACTTATATGGCTATGTATGTCACATTTCAATGCAACTGGGAGCTCCACTGGTCATTTGTTTTGTGCTTTACTAGTGGGTAGTTAATAGGATCTGTCAGCAATTTTTTTTATTTTTTTTACAAGCAATATTGAGAAAAGGAGGAATCGAACCTATAACCTCGGGTTTAGGGTAATAAAACCACCAAGTTCTTGTTTTCCCTTAAAAACCATCATTCAGAATATCCGCAGCATATCAAGGCCTAATAACCATAACTCTGGAGCACTAAATATAAGCCAAGAATGTGACGCATCCAATGAGCTAATTGATAAGATCTGTTGCTTTACGAATAGATTTAGGAGCTAAATGATGGGCTAGACACAAATTCCACATGTGATACAAAGATGCACGCATTATCCAAGAATATCATGAAAATTAGTATTCTTTAGAATGAGCAAAATATGACATCTGAATCCGAAAGGAAGGCTGACAGAGATCACTGTTACAATCAAAATTTCTCCTGACCCGTTTCACATTTCCCTCTTCAATTTTTCATTTTTCATTTTTCTTTTTCTTTGAGGGTCTAAGAGAGAGTCAGGTTCAACTGAACAAATTCACTGAACTTTTCTACGGAACTTGCAAGACCAAGAATGTTACTTGACAGTCAACAAAGTTTTACTTTTCTTCGTTTTTGGCTTTTTATCCTTTTCCTTTTGCTGCTTATACTCTTCATATAGTTGTATGGATGATGTAGTGTCATCTAGCTCAGCCCTTAATCTCCGATTCTCCTTAATGTCACGAAGAAGCATGAAATGAGCAGAGAGTTTCTTTCTCACATCATCTTCATCGATTGAAGTTGTATCTGCAGAAGGTTCTATCACAGCTGATACAGAAGGGTCACTTCCTCTTTTCCTTTTGTTATTTGATTTTTTAATGTCACTCGGTGGCTTGAAAGACTCTGGCCTCTCCAAGGAAAAGTCTGTGAAAGCTTGTTGAGGAGAGATGGTAGAGAGATAAACCTGGTTATGAGCAGTGTTCATGCTAGATATACTTGAAGCCATACTTGAGACAGCTGGATGATAATGCTGGGTTAGAAGATTGAGTTCCCAAAGGACTGAAGCAAGAGCACCACTTAAATTGGGGTCCGAAGCATATGGGTGATATTTCTGTGCATCAGGAGGGAGAGAAAAGAGAGAGGGGAACGGGTGTTAGATTCAGGATTATAATGAGCGTAAGCACGTAATGATGCCAAATGTACCAAACCAAAATCACATATAAACTAAAAAAATAATTATATAAAATCACTTTATTTAAGATTACTTGCTGAATGAACATGCATGATAGACATTTCTCATTTTTATATCACATAGCATTCTGCACAGAGTGAATAATGCACTAGCATCATTTGAACTATTGCATGCGTTTGTGCAAGTTTAGGTGTAAGGTCTTTCTTCCTTTTTCTCTTTGTTTTTTCTTTTCCCTTCCTGCTTGACAAATTAACTAGTGCATTCAACTGGATGAGTCTTTAATACTACATTTATAAGACTTCAGATTTTGAAGTGAGGACCACTGTGAGAAACATAAGCATGCAGAGACGAGAGCAAACGAAAAGTTTATTTGTCTAACATCCACATGGGAGACTTAAGGCCACACAGACAAAGTGAGTAAAACTTTATCAGTGGTATCATGGGTTCATGGGGAATTATTGAGGCATCCTTGAGGGAAATTAAAGGACTCCAGCATGCAAAACGATAGTTTTGGCCTCTCTACTGTGGATTAGAATTTAGATAAAAGATAATTCTACAGTTTTGGAATCCAGACCTGTAGATCAAAATTTAAATAAAGCTAATTCCTTCACATGATAATCAAAATGAAAAGAACTTGTGTTTTTGGAAATTTATTTTCAGAAATACAAGCTGGCCGCAGGCTCCAATTCATTAAATATCATGAAGCAGATGTTGGCATGAGAACTTACAGCAACAGAACCTGACACTGAGCCACCTCCAGCATCATTTTCTAACAGATTTCGGCACTTGACATTCTTCAGAAGAAGATGCTTTAAAGTAACCAAAGCTGCAAAAGATTCAAATGGGGAACAGGAATAAGAAATCCATAACAAGATATTGATAGCTTTGTTTCTAAACAAGAACATACCAGCCATGGACTCTGCAGATCCGGAACATAATGAGAATGTGGCCAAACGCTTTACAAATGCAGCAGCCTTCTGCATGTCATGTTGTCTATCTTCACACAGCATTATCTTCAAAGCTTCAGCTAATACTTCACCCTGATCTCTGTTCCATGAACATAACCAGTAGGAAATTTTTTTTAGGTAAGTCATTAGTTGAACCCACCTAGAAAGCATGCACTTATACTAGTCTCTAAGGTGACAGGAAAAATCAATACACCCATTGCAGGAAATAAGCTTATCACAACAAATATTCTTAATAGAAAGATGCAAATTAAGTTCCAGAACTCCAGTAAATATGGGTATAGGAATTTGAGGATGTTATTTTCTTCATCTAAAATGCACAAAGATACCAACTAGATGCCACAGAAGGTAGAGAAATGTTTTAACACCAAAATTTGACATTAAAAAGTTTAGTGCAAACCTTCCAGGCCTATATTCAAGTATAATATTGTAAAGCTGAACGAAGAAGTCCTGTAGATCAACATTTAAGGCATCAAGATTGCTCTTCATCACTTTAAATGCAACAATGCAGCAACGGAGGCGCTCAGATACAGTCAAACATTTTGAAGTATTCTCAGAATCGCTACCACCAGAAGCAAGCTTTTTCAGATAGTTTATAAGATCCCCCATGAAATCCATGTCAATTAGATGCGAGAATTTTCCTAATCCTTTCAGACACGGAGCAAGTAAAGGGTGGGGCTCAGATGCACCAGTAGATAAACTAGCATTTGCTTCGGATCTGAATGGAGAATCACAGGAAATTATTCAATACATTTGAAATCTGAAATAAAGGGAAATTGCAAATCCATAAACTACCCAAAGAAAAAATTATAAATGCTTTCCACTTTCAATCAAAGCATATCTATGACAGACTTCAAAACTGAATATATCTCCCATTTCAATCATCACTCTCAAAGTAGCCATTTACTGTTTTTGGATACCTAGTTCCTCAAAGCAAAGTGCATGCATATTCGTAAACAAGCTTATCTGAGCTTATGCCATTTAAAATATCACTCAGAAGATCATTCATGTTTATGCATTTATCAACATTATGAATGAACTGTCAAAATATCAAAAGGTAAAAGATAGAAAATTATAGAAATATGGTTGACCAATATGAAAATTACACGAAAAATGAACTGTTTCACAATACAGCTATATTTAATGACAACGTAGCTTGAGTGAATTTTATAAAGGACGGAATCAGATACCTACGTTCTTTATGGGCTTATTTGAGCACTTAAGGAACAATCTCTTGAGGGTGATCTGATTGCGAAGGAGTTTTGAGCTAAATGAAAATGATTTCTTGTTAAGCACTTTTAGTTTTATGCCAAGATGGACATATTCTCCATCTTTTTTCTTGTACTTAATAGTAGCGAATTTCCAATCAGAAAAATTTACAAATCCTTTTGGTCGTCAATGATACAAAATGTGAAAATTCACTTCTACAAGGAGATTCTTCCACAATGCATCCATTTACCAGTATCACACGCTGTATTTACAGAAAAAGTAAACATGAGTGCCCCATAGTGCCCATAGACAGAGAAGCCATTTTTCCTGATACCATGTGATCAGTCGTCTCTCAAGTTTTAAAACTCATGTATGCTAATGTATATGCTTAGTTTACAAGCTTGTAAATCTTCTCTTTAAAAAAATTAAAATTATTTGTACAGACTACAAATAGTGAGCAATCTGCTCTTTCTTGCTCTGGTTTGTCTTTTAAGCTAAAGCAAATTCATAGGATATCACAGATCCAAAGTTATCAGAATCATGATGCGCAAACAAACCTGGAAGCTGATGACTGCATTGTATGTTTCAATATGCGAAAATATGTTTCAAACACAGCAGAAAGTGCCTCTGTCTGCATTCCTCTCCGCTCCATAACATCTGGGGTCAAAGCAACAGCCTTGTAATCAGCAACAACCTGTGTATAGCATTACAAAATTCAAAAGGTTGAGAGGAAAAACCACTGAAACAAGCAAGATCAAGAAGTCAATGGATTTTGCAAAACAGAAAAACACCTCCTCTCTTGTCTTCGTCAATAACTCTTGCCTACTCCTTTTTTTGTCATTTTCCTTCAATTGACGTGCCTCCTCATAATGCTTTTTCTTCTTACTTTTTTTGCTTTGGGGTTTATGTTTCTCATCATTTCTTGCAGCCCTCCCAAGATCCTCATCGAATGACAGAGACAAGAAAACCTGCAGAAGTACTAACAATAATAAGCATGGAAGGAAAAACAAAATCCACAAGAGTTCTTATTATACAATATGATTCCAACACGAAATTCATCTTCCCATTATTTGTAGATTACTAGGCAGAAAAGCAACAATTTCCTATCAACAATCATTTGTTTATGTGAACCTGTGTATGACACAAGTTATGGTAACATATGTAATTTCAACTGACCAAATGCATTATGTATTGCAGCAAAATTACCAGAGAAAATCTATATCCATATACATTTCTGTACTGTAAAACAGTAAAGCTCCTTTTAAACAAAACTCAAGAAATATGCCATCTAGTTGGCTGAGCATGGAGTCCAACGGTAGATGACGGCCATAAGTAAGGAAATAAAAACTTTATCTTAACTCAATATAACCCTGATTGTAACCCTATAAAACTACAGCATTTGATCAATAATTTTCTTTTGGCAGAGGGATATAGAGAACTGGTCTTATTTTCTC